GTAGACGTTAACACTTATTAATTCTTTGACAGATTTCTGCTACATACAATTGAAACTCCAGCACAACTGATATATTTCTTTTTTGTCAGTTTTGTACTATTGTAATACGAATACTTATCTCTTCAATAAAAGAAAATATACCAAACAACTCGCGCGATTTATGAATAATGATGAAACCAGCAACGAACAACGAATCTGAGGTTATTTTAACAGAACAGAATTCAATACATACCCGTTCCAGTTTTTGAAAGTATTCTCTCAAGAATGATATGGGATTTTCAGGACGTCCCACACACAGCTGTACTATACAGTCTTTCAAAACTTGTTGAATATTGTGTCTCTGTACGTATTCCTCGCACTCTCTTAAACTTTGCTCTTCCTCGAAACTCGCCGCCATATTGATACACAAGTTGACACTTTATAGCGAATACCTATTCAACAATTCCGTTCTTGACTTAAATGTTCCGAACGTATTATTTTCCATTTGTAATTCGATGTACAAATAATGTCGATATTTTTCACATGGTCGTTTATTTATATTATTAACTATACAATGTGTATTCGACAATCGTGCTTTTTCAGGGTTTTAATTCAATGAAGTATGACTGTCGATATTACATGTATATTTGAAAATTAAATCTGAATTTTCTCTTGTTTCATTCTTATAATTTAAATAAATGCGGTCACTACTCATTTAATATTATTATAAGTAAATAGACTGATTTTTTAATCGAAATTTAATAAAAAAAAAAAATTTTTCAATGTATTAATAAAACGCATTAAATATAATAAAAATTTGATTATGAAAAACTAAATGTTTTATATTACTAATATTCAAACCAGACTTTAATAAAAAAGTTTAGAAAAGATTATCCAAATATTTAAGAAATAATTAATTTGCTGAATATTTAAATTGCAATTAATTGTACATATACATATTACGGATAGTTGATAGGAGTTTAGAAAATATTAATGTAAATTTATATTTTTAACTTCTAACAATAATATATTTTAAAACATATTGTCAATGGGTGGATAGACATTATAACATATAAACTATATTTTAAAATATAAGATAAGAATGTTTTCTTTTCTGCTTTTAGCAGTTGTATTTCTGCAATCCCATGTCAATCTAATGATAATTTGAAGAAGATTTTTTCTGGCAATGAGAATTAGGGAGAAATGGGATTTCAGAATTAACAATTTCCAACTTAAGTCTTATCTTTTAGAAAATGTATGGCCATGTTCTACTATATACACTGATATTTGTGTACAACACAGAATGATTCCAAGTATTTGTGCAAATGTCAATGCATTGTAGAATCCACTTAAATATTATAATATAATAAGCTCATTAAATGCAATAAAATATTTCATGAATCAAATCTAATACAAATACAAATCTTATTTCAACTTTATAAATTATGAATTTATAACATAATACATATTTAATATATTATTTAATAAATAAATAAATATTGTTGTTTATAAAAAATCGTAAATTTTCACATGGATGGATTCTCCAATGATTCCATTCGAAAAGTAATTTTTTAAATAATGATTAATAACAAATAAATTTTAATAAATGTTAAAAATAAATAACAAATACGTTTATCGTTACGCTCAACTCTCGCAGTTCAATTTCATATCTTACTTATTTTATCTATTTAATCTAATTGTGCAGTTTTTTTTAATAATAATCTAAATTTAACTATAGAACGCATGCGATGTACGTGTACAATAAAAAACAGCAATATTATAGAATATCGCAACATATGCTTAGGGATAGGGCCATTACAATTGTTGTATGAATGTATTGACTCGTATTTGAATTATTTTTATGTTTTTTTTAGATTTTATACTTTTATGAAATTGCGAATCTAACAAGTGATCGCCTGCTAAACAATACTTCCCTGTATTTGCTTTTTCTTTAGGCTATTTTAGCCCTTTCTAACGACATTAAAATTTATAAAATTTCACCGCAATGCTTCTGTAATTAAATTCAGTAATGAGTTTTACTTAATTTCTAAACTATATTATTGTTCAATATTATACGCATATGGTCGTTTTCTAAATAAATAAGATAACACATCAAATTATAAAGCATATTATTATAAAACACTTGAATAGAATAGACCTTTTTTCTAAAGTGCCTTTTAATCATAAATTA